GTGTGTGTGTGTGTGTGTGTGTGTGTGTGTGTGTGTGTGTGTTTGGATCTATGTGTGGATTGGTGGGTGGCTGAGGAGGGGAGGATAAAAATAAATAAATAAACGTGACCTTTCGGGAGCTGTTAAATCATCCCGCTGGTGACGCCAGGAGACAAGCCCCTCAGGTGGAAGGGAATGGCTGCAGAGTGAATTATTTAGAATGGAACTGAGGGTTTTGCGGAGGGGAGGGGAGGGGAGGGTTCATGTGTGGGTAGAGGGGCTGACGCTCACAACTGATCCCCCCGACAAGCCTCCAGAAGCTTTTGTCGAGAAGATCCACACGTCTTCCCTCCTCATGCCGCCATTCCTCTTTAGTTTTACCTTCAGCTGATCGGCCACTGGTCTGGATTCACTCTGTCACTACCTGCCCCCCAACCCCACAGCCCGTCACTCCACATGTGTCAGAACATCCAGCGGCCTTGACAGGCTGCTGTTTGACAGTGAAAACAATGACTGCAACACAACCTCAGCGCTGCTTTTGGATCTGTTTTGGACGTTCGTTCATGTGTCCAGATCATTCACAGCATTCCTAAAGTTCAATTTAAGACTTTTTAGGAATTTTTAAGGCCACTTGAAATGAAACTAGATGCCGCACAGAGGTAGCATATATGGCACCCGCACATACACAAAGCACCAATGCAACAGAACTCAGAAGTCACCAGAACGGATTTATTGTTGTGGGGGGTGGGGGTCTCATTGGTTGGCTCGATGGATAGATCTCCATCAGAGCTAAACAACCAAAAAATTGAAGTATCTATGTTGGATAGTTTTTGAGTTATAAGCATTTTTGTATGTCTAGACACCCCCTATTTAGATGGAGCCCCCTCCTCAAATATACCATACCATACCATACCATGCCATGCCATACCATGCCATGCCATGCCATGCCATGCCATGCCATGCCATGCCATGCCATGCCATACCATACCATACCATACCATACCATGCCATGCCATGCCATGCCATGCCATGCCATGCCATGCCATGCCATGCCATACCATACCATACCATACCATACCATACCACTTTTATTTATAAAGCACTTTAAACAGCACAAGGCCAACCAAACAGTAGACAGACATAACAGGACATAGTTGAAATTACAGTCAAATTACAGTCAAAAATATGGAGCATTTATATTTACGTACAAATAGAACAGAGTTATGATACATGGAGAGGTTTTGCACCATCTCACTCAGACTCAAAGGCAAGGGAGTAGTAGAGTGTTTTTAAGCGAGRCTTGAAGACAGCGATTGCAGGAGACTGTCTGACTTGTAGTGGTACAGTATATGGGGTATATCGTAAAACCGTTGGTTGGCCCAGTGTAGGTCGGACTCACCTACAGTCCTGTCAAATTTCACGTTGACCGGTGCAGCCGTTTCTGTGCTACGGTTGACCAAAAATCTTTGAAAAATTAATTAAGAAATAAACAATACTAAAAGACCAACCAAACACAAATAAAAAAAGCAACAAATTTACCCAAATGTTTATTTAAACACAAGTCAACTAGCTGCGAGAGCGGATTTTGGTGTTATTTTAAAAAATAACTAAATGTTACCAATTATTTTAACATTTGAGATGACTTACAATCATCCTACTTCTAATGCGTTAACATTTTTAAGAACTTTCAAAGACTGATGCGGATCCGTAAAAAGTCTTGAAAGACATTGAATTCATCCATCCAAAAATAAGGCCTTAATTAGCCTTAAAAAAATTTAAATAAATTTTCAGAGGTCTTAAAAATGCTAACACATTGGAAGTAAGATGATTGTAATTCATCTTAAACATTAAAATTATTGGTAACATTTATTTTAAAAAATTTATTTATTAAATTTTTTTAAACAGTGGGACATGAAGGTTTGAATAAAGACCAGTGTCTTTTTGGGGAGCAATAGGTTCTTTATCCATCCTCAGTAACCATAACCATAATTTATCTAATTTGCATAACAGCTTGTTTTATTAAAATAAACTTTTGGGTAAAATTGTTGCATTTTTGTTTGTCTGGTTTTGTTTTTTCATTTATGTTTATTGTAAAGTTGGTATTAAATTTMATTTCAAGTGGCATTAAAAAGTCTTAATGGTCCTAAATTTAACTTAAGCTGCAGGAACCCTGCTTTACGTTTTAAGGATAACTAAGGCCCTGGTTTTGGATGGATGAATTCAATGCTTTTTAAGACTTTTTAAGGATCCGCAGAAGATCTCACAATAACAAATTTTACTGGACGATAACTCGTCTCAGAAATGATTGTTTGGAGACCATTTTAAACTAATATAATGATGCCACGCACCCTCGCTTACGAAAGTTTACGAAATTTACGTACTTAAAAAAGTTACAGATCGCAGAGTGAAGACTGGGGAAACAACATGCAACAGCTGCTGAAGCTGTAAACTCACCTCCTCTAGGCGCAATTTATTCTGCATGTGTCTCCCTCTGGCTTCATAAAATAAATGCGGTCACTCGTAGCTACTTACGAAGTTTATGCAAGTTTACGAAATTTACGTATTTAGTGTTAAACTTGGCAAACCCAATCGACAAAGATGTCTCTAGTCTCTCCAATGTTCTCGAGGGGTATACTGGATGTGAGACGTGTGCAACAACATGAGAAGTCACAAAGGGAGAATCGACTCTAAAGCCCAGAGCCAGGAGGTCAACTTACCCATGGATTGTGTGAAACTCCTCCACTCTGACCCTGGAAAGCTCACAGACCCACACTTAGATAGGGCCAGACACATGTCCATCAGCATGGTGACAGCTGGACACCGGAGCTCGGCAGCAGCAGCCGCGTCTCACCGCAACCTCGGCATCGCCTTCGACACGCCTTCAGGAACTTCAGCAGGAGTGACAGCGAGCCCACGCGCTCTCACGCCACGAGCGTCTCGCAGGAGCGTCCCCGTTTGGCGGCAGCTTCTCCGCTCGTGGAGGGACGAGTCGTGGGAGAGTCGGAGGCAGAGCGGAGTGGCTGAAACAGATGGGCCCTGCGTGACGCTGGGCTTCCAGCAGGGGCAAAACCAATGCATGCAACAGAAAAACAGAAGAGGAATTAATAATTATATTACCACATGATTGCTTTGCATTGCCACTGCAGTCTAATTAATTGCTGCTGTGTTTGGAGCYTTTTGCCTCTTTCTTTTTTTTTTAAACGGGGAATATTAAATGTTTAAGTGACAAACAGTACATTTTGTCTTTTAACGCTCTTTCTGTGTATTTTTTAATTGGATTTTCAGAATAAGAGTTGAAACGATCTTTTAGTGATTGTGTTTTTTTTTTCTTTGTTCTTCTCAGATCTGTCTGACCAGCTTCTGGAAGTGGTGGGACTGGAAGGAGCCATGGAGATGGGTCAGATCTACACGGGTCTGAAGAGTGCAGGGAGACGCCTGGCTCAGTGCTCCTCTGTAACCATCAGGTCAGTGACCGGMTGTCTGAAGCACGCGTCCAGCTACCAGCTGCAAACTGCTTTGCTTTGGTTGCTTCCCCACATTTTTACTGCAACGTATTTTCTCATTTTATCACCTGCAGAACCACTAAAGCCCTCCCGATGCAGATTGATGGTGAGCCCTGGATGCAGACTCCCTGCACTGTAAGTCTTCACTGTCGCTCCACAAGTGGTCCGAGCTCACTGGAATCAGCCGGCCTAAAGATTTAACACAAACATACAGAATAAACAAGCACTTATAGTGTAAGGAGTCTGAGGCAGAGCGGTATAGTGTATTGGCCTGTAGCAACAAGCGATAAATCAATTCTGTGTTGTGTGCAGTCTTGTATAAAGTACCTCAGAGTGATAACCGAGTAAAAATACAAGTTTCTTACTATAACATTACTTTGGTAAAAGTTTAAAGGCATTAACATCAATAACGGCTGATTTTGGAATTGATTTGATAAGTACAGTGGTGGGCGCAGTTCCCCTAAAGCACTAATAGGGGGACTAATTTCCTGATTAGTGCTTTAGGGCTTTTGCTATTTTTTTAAATTCATTAGTGGATTAGCACTWGCTAAATTTAGAAGCACYAACCGAGGTCTTTAAATGTTATTGATCAAMGTTAATGTTAACAGCTAAGGGTGTCATACATTTTGACCTGATGCATCTCAGTTATCCAGGTAGAAAAATCAAAAAGGAAAATAAGKAGGTCCTCTGGACGAGTTCTTCATTCTTCACCTGAAACTCCTCAGACTGAAGAAGTCTCTTGGAGGAGAGGTGAAACGTTTCATTTAAGCAGAACCCGTCCAGAGGACCGACTTATTTTTTCTTTTTGTCACACATTTTGTTCATATGTGTGTCACTTACCTACAAAGTCACATGTGTCAAACTCAAGGCCTGTGGGCTAAATGTGGCCTGCAGGTGACTCCCATTTGGCCCGCCAAGGACACTAAGTGACAAAATTCTGCACACAGTAAATACTGTCATGTTGACGCTAAAGAATGTTCCATCTGTCAGCTGGGTTATTTTAGTGCTTTAGAATTAGCTTTTGCTAAAATTTTCAGTGCATTAGTGCTTTAGAATTAGGGGACTTAAATATTTGATTTAGTGCTTTAGGGTTAAGCTGGAAACATACTCCCTCCGAACTGCCGACGTCGGCACGGGTTGTCGCAGTTTCTTGACGAAAATTACGTCACCGGGGTTCGCAGCGTCGGCTCGGCAGCCCCTTTTGGCCCAACCCGCCGGCAGAACTTTTTACCCACCTCCCGCGTCGACGGTAATGTGCAATTGGTCTGAAGTTCGTGGGCGTGTTTGTTTGTGCTGAAACTGAAAGCGCTCAGACAAAAGA